GAGAACGCGCGCCAGGTGGTGCTGGTGTGCGCGCGCGGGGAGCGCTTCCTCGTGCGGGACGCGCTGCGCAGCCTGGCGGTGCTGGAGGGCGCCAGCCTGGTGGTGGGCACGTAAGTGGCTGCGGGGCGGAGGGACCCGTCAGACAGGTCCCAAGCGTGGCGCTTTTTCTCTAAACTTGGGCGCTGTGGAGGGAAACCGGGTGAAAGCTTACCCGAACCCCGGGGGGCCACTGGCTGGGCTGCCGTTCAGGAACCTGTTGCTAACATGTTTGACTGCCTCGGCTTGTCATTCGGTGGAAAAACGCACTCAAGCCGCACATGGCACCGGGAGGCGTCAGGATCCCGTCTCTGTTGATAAAATATCATTTCCCAGCAATCGGAAGGGGTTGGGATTCTTTTCAGTGCTTCTTGAAGTGCAGCCAGGGGACCACCTGCGTCAGATGTCCTGAGATTTAGTATTGTTTTTAAAGACAGCCCGCCCTCCCCTGCCCCCCATCCCAGATCTTGTGAACCAGCATCTCTGTGGGTGGAGTTCTGAGACCTGAATTTTTACAGATACCTCTCCCACCCCCTTCTTCTGTGCAATAAAGCTTGAGAACCAGGGCAAACGTTTAGATGGTGGTGGTTTGGGGTAATAGGAAATTAAGGTTCGGCCACCAGAAAACAGGGCATTTTCAATTTTTTTCATTCAACCTTCTTCACTTCCTGCTAGAAGCAAATAAAAGAAGGGCCAGTTTGGGAGGGCAGGCCTGGGGTGGGAATGGGAGTTGGAAGCCAATTTGAATGAATTGGAGAGCTAGGTGGCAGGACCATTGTGCAAGAGCAGTCTCACCCCTGAGCTGAGGCTGCTTAGGGTTGTGTAAGAGTTCAGCTTTTAATTAAGGTTGTGTGTTTTTAATTAACAAAGGGATAAAAACATTTCCAGTGTTACCGTCCAAAATTTGTTAAAATCAGTTAACAGAATTGCACAAAAGTAGGAATCCAGGGCTAGCTGATGGCTACAATCTGGAGTCCTGAGGATTCAGCCCCCACCGTCTTGCTCTGCTGTGCACCACCCTTCTCCAGTCACTCTGTCCTGCCACATGGCTGCTCCATCTCTCGTGGTGTCTGTATTCCAGCCAGTAGGAAAGGGGGAGAGAAGACAATCCTATCGGCTAAACTCAGTCACATGGCCACACCAGGCTGATGGGAGATGGGGAGATGTATCTTTATCCCCCATGGTCATGTGTCCAGCTAAATTTTAGGAATCGAGTTAGCACTGTGGGAAAAGGGAGTGTTGATCTTGGAGAACAGCTAGTATTCTTGGCTACATGAGTTGACTTTTTGCCTTAAGGTGGCTAGAGTCACTTTCCCAAAGACACAGCTTCAAAAAGGAAATACAATAAATGTTGACTGACGACACCAAGAGACATTGATGACATATTTTAAATCATTAGTCAGGTTTCTCACAATATTTCCCCAAACTTTAGTAATTATTTCTTGATTTTTCTTCAGGGATGGGTTGATAAAAGCCATCGGTCCTGCTGATGTTATCCAGAAACAGTTTTCTGAAGAAACTTTTGAAGAAAGAATCGACTGCTCTGGGAAATGCATCTTGCCGGGTATCAACCTCTTTTCAGTAAAACCCCAAATGCAGTTTTAGTCATGTAAAGAGGAAGAGTAGTAGCTTGTTTTAAAGAGGGTCTCACAATGATATTAAAATATAATAATTGCTACAGTTTATTGAATTTCTACTATTAAATGTCTAGCTGCTTTACAAACATGTTTTCACGTTGAATCCTGATAGCTGCCCTGTAAGGTAAGTATCATTATCGACATGTTACAGATTAGAACACTGAAGTTTAGGGGTGAAATATCTTACCGGAGATTGCTAAACTGGTAAAGGGCAAGCTGGGACTCAAACCCATCCATTCATTCCACTTCTTCCCACTCACATAATGGAGACGCCAGCCGTGTTGTGTTTAGTTTCAAAAACTGTTGGAAGAATTTTATTAGTGCATTTTGTAGAGAAGGCAGACAGGAAAAACTCTTACCAGAATATACTTTACATTAGTATAGAGGCTAAACAAAGGACCCATCTCTAGATGGAAAAGAGGGGGAAAAATCCCTAGAGATTTCACCGAAGTATCTTTGGTGATTGATAACAACAGAATCAGTTTATTTACCATTCTCGCCTACATGATTTATATTTGATGGCTTCATATAATGATCTGAAACAAGTTTCACAAATGTTGAGCTCTATGCAAACATAGAGGCTAAGATTTATACACTTAAAGTGTGTACTGTGTATATCTGATAGAGCTTCTACCTTCTGGCTCTTGGGAGATAGAAGATAAAGTCAGTGTGGAACCTTATGAGAGGGGCAGAATACAACAGAAAGCGATCTGAATCGGGACTTTTGATTTTACTCCAAATCAGAGCCCACTAATCAGCCATTTGATCCATTAGGTATTTTGAATATCCTGGAAAGACACACTTTACTGAATTGTACCTGAGTAAACAAAAGTTCCAAGTGATTGCTTGCTTTATAGTTTGTCTTTAATTAAAATATATTTCGTTCTCGAAGAAAGATTCATCTTTCTGGTTTCATATTTTTCCTTCTCAAGGTTGATGGTAGGGACTGTATGATTCTGTTATCACACCCAAATTATTCCTTGGTGATATAGTCAGTCCTTGGTTTTGCTGAACTAACAGATTTGACATCCTGTTTTAAAAGATCTCCCTTGGTGAGCATGGGCTTACTGGGCAAAAGGAGCTGTATTTTTTTTTAAGGAATATGGAATATTTTCATCATGTTGAGTCACCCTCCTCTACAGACAAATTCTTGCACCTCCACGCCCTCCCAGATGGCTGTCCACGATCATGCTTTCCAAACAGAAAGATGGGAGAGCCGGCCTGCTATCTAAGGGCTTTCTAGTTCTTAACTTTAAAAGTAATTTTTACTTTCTTGATTATAGGTTTGGTGGATGCGCACACACATCCAGTATGGGCTGGTGAAAGAGTTCATGAGTTTGCAATGAAGGTAACTGCAACGAACCATGGCAAATCCAAATGAAGCATAAACAGACAGATCTTTTTCTGAAGAGGCTGTAGGCTGTCCGGCTTTGCAACACACGCCTTTGTGTCTTTTTAATGGATATTTTTACTGCCCTGGACTATGGAAAATAAGTTATAACAAAACTAACTAGTTTATAACTGTCCAAATCTTTATTCTATGCACAGGGCTAGCAAGCATTTTAAGTATAATAGTTTAAAAAATTTTTTTAGCTGTAGAGACTTTATTTTAACAGAACTAAGTTGCCTTGCTCACTAATTTCTTCTCTTTTCCTCACTCCCATTCCATCCCACCAGCCCTGGTAGCCTTTGAAAAGGCTCGAGGAAACAGTTTGAAACGTTCATTAGGGTCATACCAGGAAAAATATATTACTAATAATAAAAATAAAATAAGTCAGAATGAGATTTATTAAGAAACCAAAAATGTAATCTGTCGGTCATTAATTAACTGTAGTCAATCCTCAAATCCCTAGTTGGAGCTATTTTTACATTGTTTGTTTTCAGTAGACTTTCTTTTTGAGAGGAGTTTTAGGTTCACAGCAAAACTGAGAGGAAGCTGCAGAGGTTCCCCGCATACCATCCCCTGCCCCAGTCTTCCCATTTTCAACAGCCTCCTGCAGAGTGGTATTTGTTACAATGGGCGAACCTACGTTGACACATCATTATCACCCAGAGTCCACAGGTTACATTACTCTGGGTTTGGACAAACGTATAATGACACGTACCCACCATTGTAGGATCATAGTTTCACTGCCCTAAAAACCCTCTGTGTTCTGCCTGTTCGTCCCTCTCTTCCCCTCACCCCTGGCAACTACTGATCTTTTTACTGTCTTCATAGTTTTGCTTTCTCTAGAATGTCATATAGTTGGACTCACGGTATGTAGCCTTCCCAGATTGGCTTTAATATGCACTTGAGTTTTCTCCACACTGTTTCTAAAAATGTATATATCCTAACAGCTAAACTGCATTATTTCAGAAAAAGAAAAACTTTCTTCAAATATTGTGTACCTTCCTCGACAAGCTAGAGCTGCTTGTAAGGCTTCTTTATTAAGTCACAGAGTTTCAGAGCCAAAAAGCAACCTTAGAGATTTGCAATCCAGCTCTCTCATCGTATGGATGTGGAAAGTGAGGCCCACAGCGGGAAGGGTGTTGACTGAGTTCACCAGCTCACCGTGGCAGAGCCCAGATGGAAACTTTGGCCGGGAGGCACCCCCCGCCTCCACGCCGGGCAGGCATACTGTGTTTGCACCACTCTCCTTGCTGCTCAGAGTAACAGGAGCCCACTGGGATCCCACAAAGAGCCGCTTCATTTGCTTGAGCCACAGAGGTCAGGCCCCAAACTCTTGTGGCCAAATACTGAGGAGAGGAAACCGCCCTGGGTCTCTTTGGTGGAGATTTGAATGACTGCAGTGGGGCCCCAGAATAGACTAAGCTTTGTGTTCTTATAGGTGCTGAGGGATAGGCAGAGACTTAACTGGTGCACACTGGGGTCAATTGGGCTGTTAAAATACTGAAATACTTCTGTTAATGTAAGAAACATTCAAACCTGTGAAGAATTTTTGTGAGTTTATTTGAACCAAACTGTTGACATGCCAGGAAACAGAATCTCAACAGATGGAGAGAATGCTCTGGAGAATGGCAGTTTTGCACCTTATTTTATACATTACAATGAAAAGAGGAGATGTATGTGGGCTACATGAAATCCATTGGTAATAGATCAGGGAGGCGGGAGAAAGCAAAGTGGGGAAACGTCTGGGATTAGATAAAAAGTAAAATGATGGACACACACTTCTTTACTTAGATGGGTGCAGGATAGTTAACAGGCAACAATTAATAACAAACAATGAGAGGATTTGTGGTCTCCAGAGAGGTGCTTGTGCTTTGAGGGGTCTGGAAAAAGGAAAATGGCTTTGACATTCCAACAATATGTTGTCATAGATGCAAAAAGACAATAGGCTCAGTTAAGGTAAAGATTGACCTTTGTCAGGGAAGATACTGGCCTAGGACATGACTACCCACCATAAACTGCTTTTTTAGTTGAAAAAAGTTTTAATTTCAGACCATCCTTTGTGCTTACCTTAGGTCTCTGAGTTTGCAAGGCTGCCGTGCAGGCCTTCCCTGAGCTACTCAGGTTAGCATGTGGCCCCTTTGCGCCCACCCTTCTATACCGGGTGGTAAATTGTCGCTGCCCTGAGACCAGAAGTCTCCACCACACCTCCCATTTCTGCCACCCCAGTATTTTCCTGGGACCCCACCCCCCTTCCTGATCAGCTGGGATCGTGAGTCATTTTGAGTATCACCCCTGCAGGTAGGTTCTGTAGACCTGCCTGCAACCTCCCTGCATTTGTTCCGCCTAACAGTGAGCCGTGTGTTCAGTTGGCAGGAGCCACGTACATGGACATCCACCAGGCCGGAGGAGGGATCAACTTCACCGTGGAGCGCACGCGCCAAGCCTCGGAGGAGGAGCTGTTCAGCTCCTTCCAGCAGCGGCTGCAGTGCATGGCGAGGGCGGGGGCCACGCTGGTGGAGTGCAAGAGCGGATACGGCCTCGACCTGGACACCGAGCTCAAGATGCTCCGCGTGATCGAGCGCGCCCGGCGCCAGGTGGCCCTGGGCATCTCGGCCACTTACTGCGGGGCTCACTCAGTGCCAAAGTAACGTCAGCCGGTGGGACCGGGTTTAACTCGGGCAGTGAGGGGGCTGCTTTCTCCAGCGGTGGCTCAGCACTTTAGCTCTTGCAGAGAGAGACCAGCAGAAGCCCTCGGAAAGGTGGTCTGATTCTCATGGTCAGTCATGTCACACATGGTTTTAGGAAGGTGGCCCCCACCAGACCCATCACTTTGCTAGTCCCTTCAGGATGAAGGAAGAGTTTTTATTTTTGTTCATTTGCTTGTTTAACAGAAAACATTTTTGTTTTATTGTCATAAATGGATTTTTTTAGCTTCCCCTTTAAGGTTTTTCCTCTCTGGCTTTACTGTAGGGAATGGCTGTCTCCTTCTACATCTGCATCTTATCTGTCCCGGAATTTCTAGACCAGAAGGCCCGCAGTTCTGGAACAAAAAGATTAAAAAAAAAAAAATCCAGGGCTTGGAAATTCACAGGCTTCTCCGCAGTCTCAGTGCAGTTTTAAGTTTTGACAACTTAGATATATTAATGCTACAGGATTACAAAAATTATTTGGAAAAGAATTTATATATTTTATAAATGTATTTCTTCTTGTGAACTTTAAAAAATGAAATTTTAATGGTAATTTTGTGTTTACCATCTTCAGAGGAACTAAAAAAATTAACATTAAAATTTATTATTAAAAATTCACAAAATGAATTAAGTAGAAAAGAAACTATTTCCAGTGATGTTTGTTGTATGTTTTTAGCATTTATACTTCTGAAATTATTAAAGCTTGAAACTGCCCTAAGACTTTTGGGATGACTTATCTGTAGAACACAGATTTTTGCCCTAGCGGTTTTGCTCAGCGGTTAGAGCATCGGCCAGTGGACTGAAGGGTCTCAGGTTCGTTTCTGGCCAAAGGCACATACCTGGGTTGCAGGCTCCATCCCCAGCCTGGTCGGGGCTTGTGTGGGAAGCAACTAATCAATGTGACTCTCTTGCATCGATGTTTCTCCCTGTCTCTCTCTCTCCCTTCCACTCTCTCTGAAAAGCAATGGAAAGAATATCCTCGATGAGGCTTGAGGTCATTTACTTATAGTTTTTCAGGTTCCCCAACCACCAAAAAACCCTTTCTCCAATTAAAAAAAAAAAAAAATTGCCCATGGAATCTTCTTTTCTTCCTTCAGGGGAAAAACTGCTATAGAAGCTGCTGATGACATCGTCAACCACCACCTCCCGAAGCTGAAGGAGCTTGGCAGAAACGGGCAGATTCATGTCGACAATATAGATGTGTTCTGCGAGAAGGGTGTCTTTGATCTGGATTCTACTAGAAGGATTCTTCAAGGTGGAAAAGACATAGGGTTGCAGATTAACTTCCACGGGGATGAACTCCATCCGATGAAGGCCGCAGAGGTACGGCTGACCTTTGGCTTCTCCTTTGTCAACACTCATGTCATGGAAAACTTACCTTGTTTGTTCAAAGACAGGAGCAGCCTTCTGAAAAAGAGAGAGTGGAGAAATTTGTTTGAATAATGTGAAGATTGCTCTGGCTAAGCCTTGGAATCCCTGACCTCTATTAGAAATTTACTTTTTGGCTGGCCATTTACTTTCATTATCACCTGCTGGTGGTATTCATAAAAAAAGAAGTGATCTCATTGACTAAATTCACAACCTGTTTTGGTTGGTACAGAAAGCCATACTAGCAGAGTCTATTAATTTCACTGGCAGCTTGTAGGGTCTTTCTGTGGCACCATCCAGATGAACTTGAGTAAAGCTCACCACCGATAGCCACGACATGATTTTCAAATCTATACCTCTGACCCAGAGTCATATATTCCTGCTTTCAACAAATATTTGAGTGTCTACTGTATGCCAGGCACTGTTAGAGGCCCTGAGAATTCATCATTGAATAAGCCAGCTCTGGAGTGGGGTGAGGGGCTAAATGAACAACTGCCCTTGGGCATAAATACAGATGTAGATACCTCACGTGTGTCTTAACCACAACATGTCCTGTTTGATCCCCTAATATCACTTCCAAATTGTGCCCTGTGTTTCCTGCTCCGGTGAATGACACCATTATCTATCTATTGCCTAAGTTAAAAACCTGACCTCATTTGACTCCTCCCTCCCCTTCACCTGCCACATTTCAACCAACCAGCAAGTCCTACCTACCAGTTTTCCATCTGAATATCTAGGTCCACCGGTCTTCACCCCACTGCATAGGTCAAACCACCATCAGCTCTCACCTGAATTCCTGTAACAACTTTCTTGCCTCATCTTTAATCTGCTTCTTTAATCCATCACCGTAGTGCATCTATCCTCCCTCTCCATTGATTAAAACCACCTAAAGGCTTACCATTGCTCATAGGGTGAATTCCAAACCCCATGCATGTAGGCTTGCCAGGATCCAGCCCTTGTCTACCTCTATCTTCCTCACTCTCTCCTCTCCCTTTTCACCCCATTCACCCTGTCTACCATGAGCCAGCCACAATGAACTACTTTTAGTACACCAAATCCTCCAGGCCCCTGCACAGACTGTTTCTCTCATCTGAACTCCCCCTTGTCTCGTTAATTCTAACTCCCATGTTTCATCATAGCCATGGCTTCTCTAGGGTCCTTCCCAAACCTCTCCACCAGTGGGTTATAGCTCCTCCTGTACTTATCCCACTGTGTTAAAATTGCCTCTGCGATCCCTACTGGACTGCAAACACTGAGGACTGCACCCATGTCTTACACAGCCCTGTCCCTGGAGGTTAGCACAGTGCCTGGCATACTGATGGCCCTTACTAAGTAAATAGTCATTGAATATTTGTTAAATGACTGTGAACTAGGTGGTCAACAAGATACTTTTGGTCGTAGAGAGTGACTGGTGAATTACATCAATAGAGGTCAATACCCTGGATGAGCAAATTAAGTTTGGAAAAGTGAGGGTGATTCCAAGGTCAGGAAGGAACTCCCCTGGGGAAACGTAGTCTGTCCTGTGGTCCAAAACATTCTTAGACCTGAGCCAGCTGCTGAGAAGGGGCCAGCTCTTCCCTGCCCTGATGTGGGGGGACTGTAGCCTGCCTGGGCCACAATGTAATGTCAAATATTGTCTTCTCTCCTTTCCATGGAATATGTCTTTTCAACATACCCTTTCATCCTGGGGTGTGTGTGTGTGTGTGTGTGTGTGTGTGTGTGTGTGTGTGTGCATGTGTTCATGTGTTTAAAATTGTCAAGATGAGAAGAAATCCACGTTAATGCATGGTTCCATGGTCATCATAGCATTGCCTCTTGGTTTTCTTCTTACAGTCTAGCCCAAACTTTTCCTCTGGCTGGAGAGAAATCAAGCTCAAGTAGTATCCTCAGATTACACCTATGATTCACATTTTTTATGTTTGTTTTCTTAACTGATCTGTTTTCACTGAGAACAATAGCATTCCAAGATGCCTTTTTATTGTGATTTTATGATGCTATAATAGATTTTATTGCCAATATTACTCAATGTTTTATTCTGACTCATAAGATCCATAACATTTTCGTTTTTAGCAAATGCCTGAAGAATGTCAGTAAAAATTTGTGTCTAATAGTTTTTGAAGCAGCACACTAGCTAATTTTCAAGTGAATGTCCATCACAAATTCTTTGTCCGTTTTGGGGCTTGTGCTTGAGAGAGGTAGTTGGCAAGAAATCTTAATAATAGAATGGTGCTTATTTTTGCAGGAAAAGCAGTTTTATGGTACTTTATTGTTGCTGTTGGTTAAATCTTTTTCTCTCTGCTCATTCTGCTTAGCTCGGGGCTGAACTGGGAGCCCGGGCTATCAGTCACCTGGAAGAAGTGAGTGATGAAGGCATTGCCGCCATGGCAGCGGCCAGGTGCTCCGCTGTCCTTCTGCCCACCACCGCCTACATGCTAAGGTGAGGGCGTCCTCTCCCCACGCAAGAGCTGCAGGTACACATTGTGAAGACACAGGCTTCCAAGATGCCTAACTTATTTCATTGCCCTTACAAATCCCTTAAAAATGCAGATCAAGAAAACTTAGCTCATGGAAGATGCCAATTGTGGAATGATGTTCAGAAATGAATTACCCTGAGGAAGGAGCTCAGAACTAAACTGACTTTGCGTGGTGGGGTTATTGGGGAGAAGGGCTCTTTCTTAGTCCTTTATACTAGTTTTTAGATTTTCTAATGTAAAGAAAAATCAGTATGCCTCACCTTTATAATTAGAAAAAAATGAAGTAGGCTTTGGACTTCAAAAAACGTGCATGAGCCCTGGCCGGGTGGAGCGTGGTCCCGTACACCAAAAGGCTGTGGGTTCAATTCCTGGCCTGATCAAAACCCAGGCTGTGGGTTTGATCCCCAGTCAGGTGCGTATGGGAGGATACCAATGTTTTTCTCTCACATCCATGTTTCTCTCTCTCTCTCCTTTCTCTCCAAACAAAACAAAACAAAACAAACAAACAAACAAAAAACATACATAAGATATTAGGGATATTTAGCAGTATTCAGAATCTGCATGAGCTGTTTTCTGAGAAGATGAGTGTGGGTGCCATAACTGTGTACCAGAATCCTCATAAACCCCAGGGTGAGAGGAGAGAGGAGGTGTATATTTTGCAAAGTCTCCCCAGGAACTTTGCTGTATGCCCTGTATTTAGTCCATCTTGTGTAACTGCCATCGCTCTAATTCTACCAAACCTGAGGTCTCCCTTAGTACCACCTGCATGAAGCCATCTAGTCTGTGGTCAGGGAGGCCGGCATTCAAGAGACAGTTTATTCACTTCGGACCAGGTGCCTCCTATGAGGTTGGGATATCTGATTTTCAAGGCAGTGATTCTGCAGTTATGGCCTTAGCACAGTGGTTAGCAACTCAGGGTGATTTTGCCCCTCAGGGGGCATTTGTCAGTGTTTGGAGACATTGTTTGTCATAACTAAGTGGTGCTCCTGACATCTAGTGACATCTAGTGGATAGAAGCCAGGGACGCTGCTAAACATCCTACAATGCACAGAATAAACCCTCACAACGAAGTATTAACCAGCCCAAGAAATGAATTGTGCCCAGGTTGAAAAACTCTGCCTTAGGGACCAAAAAACAAGGCTTTGAGCAACTGTTATAAGGGAGAAGACAATGATGTCAGTGCTTTCCTAAAACTTATTATGATTTTATACACATACATTAATGTAGACTACAACCAGGAAATATCAATCAATAACTAAACACTAATCTATTTCTTCTTCCAGAAGACAAAGGGGTTGGATATCTTAACTCTTCCATTCTGCACATCTATTCTGAAAAAGCTCCAATTTCGGATACTGACATCTTTTTTCCTCTCATTAGACTGAAGCAGCCTCGAGCCAGGAAGATGTTAGATGAAGGAGTAATAGTTGCTTTGGGCAGCGACTTCAACCCGAATGCCTATTGCTTTTCAATGGTAATTATTTTTAGCATGCCCTTCTGCGCAGAATATCAAACTTCTACCAAGTATATAAATAGTTTACAAATATTCCTGTTAAAAGGTACCAAACATCAAAAAATATTTTCCTGTGTAACAGGAAAAAAAGATATAGATAGTAGTGTACTTGGATTTTTCTGTACACATGAATGCCTCCAGGCATAGGGAAAGGAGAAAGGATCCTATGTGCATTATTATCTGGCTTGGCCTTGGGCCTTGTGGTTTTACAATAACCCATTTTCCCTCTTGGAGGATAGGATAAGCTCAAAGAAGTAAGTAAGTGTGGAGGGGAGCTTCATTCTATACAGTAAGTGGTCTTGAAAAGTTGTAAATAAATATTAAGTACACATGGGGGTAATCTCTATAATAAAGGAACCTTTTTCTAAAGCCTAAGAACCTTTATGTATGAGGTTAAATTTTCCCATACCAATCTAAGCCATTTCCACCTACACATTTAATCACCATTATTTGTCGTGCTGTGTTGAGAAATGTCCCAAGAAGAAGCTGCCATTGTGTTACTTTCCTCCAACACTTTCTCCTCCGCCTCAGCCAGTGGTCATGCACCTGGCCTGTGTCAACATGAGAATGTCCATGCCCGAGGCCTTGGCCGCTGCCACCATCAATGCGGCTTATGCACTGGGGAAATCTCACACACATGGATCTTTGGAAGTTGGCAAACAGGGAGATCTCATTATCATCAACTCCTCCAGGTGAGTGTGCTCCCAACTAAGCTGTTTTATTTTTATAAATTTTTTAAAAATATATCTTTATTGATTTCAGAGAGAGGGAAGGAGAGGGAGAGAGAGATAGAAACATCAATGATGAGAGAGTCATTGATCAGCTGCAGCCCGCAACCTGGGCATGTGCCCTGACCAGGAATCAAACCCCTATCGCCTGGATCCTAGGTCGACGCTCAACCGCTGAGCCACGCCCGGCCAGGCCCCAACTAAGCTGTTTTAGGCCCATTATAGGATACAGACCTGGTTTAAATCCCTTTTCCACTAATAATTAGTGTCAGGCTCTGTGTAGGCTGAGAGGCTACTCAGTCCCTCTGTCTTCACTTTTTCATAACAAAGTCCCTAAACCGGGGGGCAGGCTCAGTGTTCCGGTCTCTTCATCCATCTTACATCCTGCATAGACTCCCAGGCTTCTCCTCTGTCTACCTGGACTTTGGACTTGTTGTGCTTCTGGCCTGTGTTTTTGTTTTTCTGCTTAGCTTCTGACCGTCTGCTTATGCCGGGTCACACACGTCCCAGCTCGTCAGCCTGGTTCTGATCCATTACCGCTCTAATTTCTTATTCCTACTGGATCCCCAAATTCTTGCATCGTTGCTCCTGCCCTGGTTCCTTATTACTCACCCACAGCCTGCTGCCACCTGGATCTCCAGTGTGACAGTTTGAGTCTTACTGTTCTAAATCTTCAGTCCTTGACTTCTGTGAGCCTACCACAGCTCTTGGACCTCACGTTCAACAGAAGAGAGTGGCCCTGTAATTCCACTCTCTGTGGTCATAAACCATTCTCTCTACTGAAAACAATGCTGATGTTACCATTTGTGTATTATTTAATTGAATCAACTATTTTAAGATCAAATACTTAAATGATATTATTAATGACATTAGATTTATTACAGGCTAGTTAGTAATATGCCATTTTTTAAAAAGCCAAATATCAGTGACTAGGTATAAAGAAATTTTTAGAGAATGTATTTTTACATTAGCATTTAGTTACAGTGATCATTTTGACTTGTATGTATTGAAGTCATGTTTGATTTCTTTCTAGGTGGGAGCATTTGATTTACCAGTTTGGAGGCCATCACGAATTAATCGAATATGTTATAACTAAAGGAAAAGTCATCTATAAAAAATGACGGATCTTAAAGGAAAGAGAAGACTCTTCAATCATATAAAATACGTCAATACAGTTATGTTAAAAGTTAAAATGCCTTATTAGTTTACCAAAATGATGTCACTTAAACCTAAATGTATTTCAATGTTTTGTTAATCCACTCATAAAACCAAGGGATTAACTTATTTTAATTTAATATGCACCTGGACATACAAACAGGTAAATTAATTATGATGCTAATCTCAAAACATTAAATTATTCCACAAAGATTTGTCATAAATATTCTAAAGATTAATATGATGAATTATCACAGGAACGCATTTGTAGGGAAAAGCAGATTAACAATTAGGCAGATGTGGCTTGAAATTCCCATCTTGTTTCTGCTTTTTGAATTTCAGTTTTACAACAATATTTAGTGAAAATTGGGGGATGGAGGGAAATCCAAGTGAGATGCTCCAGATTGGGCTAAAATGTAGCCTTCTAGAACAGCCACAGTTCTTCCTTTCTAGAATGAAATGCATCAGTGTCCCCTGAGGGAGAGTGTCCTTCCAATTCTAATGTCTTTTCAACCCTAGCTCTAAATAGACTTCAGAGCACAGTTCAAGACGAGTCATTTTACATGCAGGTACCGGGGCCTTCCTGTAATGGATGCATTTTGACCAAATGCAATAGTGTAATTTTTAAAAAGTCATTTTTAAGTTTTTGGTTCTTCACATTACAAATGTATAGAAAATGAGTCATAACTCCTAATACATATATGCCAGCACTGCCGTTGTTTCCTTACAGCCCCCGAGGTAGAGCAGCACCTTGTCTATTAGAGTTTTTTAGGAAATAAACAGATTACGGAATTACTTGTAAAGAGTGGATGATTATTTATATATATAAAGGGTTCTTTCATATTAGTTTACTTGAAATCCTTTTAAATGTTTTAATCATCTTTGCGATCACAACTGTATTATCAAACTTTGTCCTGTTTATGAAGAAATGATTTGAGGAGTAAATAATAAAGTAAATAATAACTATCGAAATCATCACCCATTTCAGGTTCACAGAGGCTGAATCAGTGAGGCTTCACTGTATCCCGCATAAATCAAATCAAGCTACCCCTTGCTGGGATGTTACAGAACGGGGCACGTGGCTGTCACCACCTATAGCCTGGGGGCTCTGTCGCTATCCCTCCTATGCTTGGTGAAGGAGTCTTGAGAGGGTGTGGTATCACCTAGCCAATGGTGGGAATTTGGGATGTACGAGAGAGAGATATAAAGGCCAACATCAAATATCAGGTCTGTTCTGGAACCCAACCCATGCAGCCCATTGCCCTCTAGGAGACAGTCACTCGAAACAAATAGCACTCATGTCTTTTTGGAAGGAAAGCAGAAGAGGATGCCCTCCGGGAGCTGCCTTGGTCCTCCCAGGCCAGTGTCTGTAAGCCCTTGCAACTCAAGGGAGCTTGCTGGAAACGCAGAACACTGGCCCCCACCCCAGACCTGCAGAGTCAGAGTCTGCATCTTAAGGAGCCCCCAGGTGATACTTGCAGCCAAACCAACTTCCACCCTGTTCCTTAAAACAGTCTGCTTGTGCTGTCCTGGCCTTGCAGCGCTGTTCCCTCTGCCTGAAATGCTGTTCCTCTCCTCTCTAGTTAGGAAATCAGAGCTAGTCACTTCCCCTCACCCCACCTCGAATACAGTCATTATACCATTGTAATTTAATTCTTTCCCTTTAGATTGTGACTTAGAGGACAGGGACCTTGTCATGTCCCCAGGATCTAGTATGGGGGACTGGTTTAGAGCAGGTGATCAATAAATGAATGAATGAATGGCCGCACAAACACACGGATCGTCACAGTAAAAATTTCTTATCAAAATACACTCAGTAGGCCAACCCAGGGTCGTGGTTATTCTGTGGATTGGAAGGAGCGTATGAGTTTCTTAACATAATGTCAGAGGATGATGCTCATGGGAGAGTCAAGTGGTAAAGTAAAACCAAACAAAGAAACAGTGTCAAGGTTGGGTGGGAGTGGGGTTGCCATCCTCAGCTTTGGAAGTTGGGAGGGTTGTGATGAGAGGGAGAGACTCCAGGGTGGAACATCATGAAATGTTCAGAAGACAGGTAGGTGATGGGTGTTCCTGGAGTACAGGGTTCAGGGGGAGCAAAAACTACAAGGTGAAGCCGGCTTTCACAGGGCTTTGAATGTCAGGCTCACCGGCCGGGACTTCATTGTGAAGTCAGGGGAAGCCACTGGACGTTTTTGAATAGGTTAGGACCAGGACGAGAGTGTTGTTGTAGAAAGATTCATCTGGTTTCAGTGTACATAGTGGGCACTCAAATATTTGTTGTGCGAGTGGACTCTGGCAAGACACCTTGAACAAGTCCTTTGGCAGAGACAGGAGACCTCGGGGGGCTAGATGTCCAGGTGGAAAGTGAGATGTGAACACTCCATTCCGTGCTCCACATTGGGCTAGATCAACATTATTTTCTCAACCTTCTAGAATTATTGGGTCACCCTCCCAGGAGAAAAATTAAATTTATTTCTAAGGAATAAGAGTTTGTCAGGTAGGGCTGAGCTTTGGAAGACCACAAACCATTGTGACATGTAATTTTTTTCACCTTTCCTAAACCTTGGCGGCAACATCACCCCCGCTGAGTTGATGCCTGCACCAGACGCTGTGGGACACAGCGAGGACGCATGGTACACTGAAGGGAACACAGATCTGGGACTTGACATCTGAGCTTTGATTTCTTCTTGGACTCTATCTGTAGAGGTTGGATCCCTTCCAGCTTCAAAGCTGGGTCCTGCCTTCAGGGAACTTACAATTCAATTAGGGCAGTAAGACTGACATTAAAGAGCAGAACAAAGGCAGACAGCATTAAGAGCTGGTTGTCTTAAAAGGAACTCTGGTAAAACACAGTAATTTTTAAATTTAAATTAGTTTTAGCATCTTGGTCTTTGTAATAGTAAGCGGAAGGATAAAGACAATGCCAGCCTCTTGGAGAGATTATTTTTCTAACGAGAGGTTATTCCAAAATACGAAGGCACATGTTTTCCAATGGGTTCTACTGAAGCTATTTCGGGCATTGGGAAACTGGCACCCAGAGGGTGGAAACCACCAGTGAGCCAGAGCAATCTGTCCTTGCTCACACAGCCGTGAGATCCCAGAGGCGGTCTGTCCTGGGAGAGTTGTGCTTCCCCTACTGTCCCATTCGCATGGATTCTCATGGCCTCGATGACCTGGCCTCTACTTACTTCCCAAGCTTCCCATCTCACTGCTACACGCTGCTGCTGTTGCTTCACCCTCCAGCCGGCAGCCTGGGCTATACACCGTGAGGGCAAGGACCGGGGCCATGTTGGTCACCATTTGTTTAGTGATAGAAATTGAGCAAACATAGAATTGGTTTCCTGGCATAAGTGCCTGCTGACATTGAAGTTTAGCTTCCATTTCTCCCTTCTCTCTCTGACTCCCATCACTCAAAGCCCAGCTTAGTCACCCCTTCCAGGAAGCCTCCTTGATGATTCGAAGGCACTGCAGTTAACGTGCCTTCCTCCAGGACACATGTTTGGTAAGTAATTGTCATTTCATGTCCCCAGCTAGATGGAGAGCTTTGAATACAGGACCACATGCTGTATTGACGCACCACAGCTCTGGTGCAGTACCTCACAGACAGTGGCTGTGCTAGGTAGAATGTTAACAGCTGCAAGTAACCAAACCTGACCAAAACTGGCTTAAGGCATGAGGAAGGTTATTGGCTCACCCCCAAAAATTTCACAGGAAGAGCAGGCTTAGGACTGGTTTCTTTGGAAGCTCAGTAATGCTGAAGACCCAGGTTCCTTCCTCCCCTCTGCACTGCCATCTTGTGTTAGTGTCACCCCAAGGCCATCTTCCCCCTTGGGTCAGGCCGGCTATCCACAGGCATAGGTGAGAAAGTATTGCTGCCATTGTTCTCAGGGGAGGAAATGGACTCTCAAAACCTCCAGTAAAACTCTTCTCTGTCTCACTGACCCAAATTGCAACCTCAACCCTTTCTTGAACTAATCACTGAACAAAAAGTACAGGAATCCCTTGAGACAAACCAGGCCTATGCCCTGAGCTGAAATGCGGGGGTGTATGTTTTGGTTTTGTGTTTTTGCTAAATTATCAATGTTTACTTGTTTTTTTAACGTGTTGTTATTGATTTTAGAGAGAGAGGAAGGGAAGGGGGAGAGAGAGAAACATCAATGAGAGAAAGAAACATTGATCAGCTGCTTCCCACTTTCCCCCTACTGGGGATTGAGCCTGAAACTCAGGCATATGCCCTGACCAGAAATCGAACCCTGGACAATGCTCAACCAACTAAGCCACACGGGCCAGGGCAATATTGTCAATGTTTAAATTTAATAAATACCTTCAGCAGAAGTAACCTCCAAATGCAAAGTGATCATGCATTCGTGAGATAATTAGGTTTAATAAAAAGGTAATAATCCAGCGACCAGATCCAGAAATGAGACACAAGTTTAAAGTAGTATGACAAGTACCTTTTTTTCCAAAATTTTCTGGTTATGTGTGAGATTTTGTGTATGTGGTAGATTGTTAGAGTAACGGCCCCCAAATCATGCCAGATCACTTGCCTGTGCCCTTGAGTACTTCTCTCCCAAATTGACCTTGACTTGCTCGGGCCAACAGAAACAGCAGGAGCTCAAAAAGCCCTTGCACTCTGGGGCTTTCCCTCTGAAGGCTGGTGAAGTAGCCAGGTGAGCCTGCTGGGGAGAAACTCCTGGTGTCTCTAACTCTTTTGCTGCTACTCAATGGGAAAGAGAGAGAAAGACCGAGTCAACCACACTGTCTAAAGATACTTTTTCAAGGGCAACATTCGTCATTCACCGACTCCATCTTTCAGAAACTTGATTAACCGCAGTTAGTATAGCCTTTCCCTAACCAGGTGTTCAACTTTGTTTTAAAAATCTAAGAATACAGCCACAGCATAAGACAATTGAGTTTATTCCATATTTACCTTGACATTCTCTTGAAGGCATGTGATGTCAGTTACTAAGAGCTGTATAAAGAGCTCAACGACAAAGGGCCCCAGGGCACCCTGGGGCTGTGGGATCCAGCACTCCCCAAACGGGAGTGAGAAACAGCCATCAGACAGCTGGGTCTACTGGCTCCGCTGCAGCTCATGGGTAAGGATCGGTAAACTTCATTCGTGTGTGTGTTGTGTGTGTGTGTGTGTGTTTGCATATTAGCAAAGAACAACATTAAGAATGGGTTCCCCAGCACCTATTTGTTCTCTGAATTGCTGTAGGCAGGAGTTTTGACTTCTGTCTCCACTTTTCCTGTAGACAGGCTGCAATCTGGAGTGAAACTATTGTGAACTATGCTGCTGGACCCACCTTAGGCTGTAATCAGGTCAGCAATCTGGCAAGCGCGTCTGTCCTTCCTTAACCAGCTGCAGTTTTTAGAGCATGGTTTCAGACTCCTGCACTAGGAGCTCTTTGCACCCATTTGCATGGATGGGTGCAAAGTCACAGATCTTGGAAGCCAAGAGGTCATCCCACCCATCCTTCACCTGGAAAATCACCCTTAAGCCTTCCCAGAAAGCCCTTGAAACCTTCCTTTATGGGGAAGAAACATATTGGGTAATACATCCTAGGGCCCCACCCGATCTTTGTCAATGGGGCCTCACGTTAATGGTTACCATTACAGCAAGGGCTGGTTAACTTCTGGACACCAGATTCCTTGTCTGTGAAACGAGGAGGGTTAATGTAGGGTTATTAGAAGAATGGGAATTGATTAGGAGACTTGATTTGGGGCGGTAAACACACAATACAATGTGCAGGCGACATATTATAGAATTGTACACCTGCAATCTATTTAATTTTATTAACCAATGTCACCCCAATAAATTCAATAAAAAATAAAATAAAAATAAAGAATGTGACTCAAGTGCTAGCACATACTAAGGAAATGATAATACTAACCCTTCAACTCTAGTTTAAGCATCCTATCCTTTTTTTGATATGTGTAGTGGTAATTGATAAATATGAAATACACAGTTCAATAAGAGCCACTCCAATAACAATCTTTATATTCGTTCCTTCATTCCTTTACATAAGCCTCTTGTTGACCTACTGACTACTCTTCACTATGATTCGATTAGTAGTAGGAAGAACAGCTTGAAGACAAATTGTGATTTTAAAAGGGTTGTTTCTGAAGGCACAGTAAGGAGCATCGGTCATAGCGTACATACTACAATCAGCCAGAGTTAACTAGTAGAGAGCTTGTCAAAGCAAAAAACAAAAAAACAAAAAAAATGGGGAGGGAGCGATTAACCAAAGTCTAATGTTTTTGGAAAAGAATGCCATCAATCTGTTTCAAGATGTGAGTTGCTCTGATGTTAAGAGTAAAAGACCCTGCAGTGTGGTTGCTCTTCTCACCCTTAAGGGTGAGTGGCCTTTGGAAGGCATTAAAGAAGAAAAGCTCTTAATAACCGAAAAAACACTTGCTGGGCCTCAGACCAGGCCACCAGGAGCACCGTGCGAGGTTTAGCAACTGTATTGCTGCCACCAGTCTATCCAAAGTGGGTTTTAGAAGAACTGAATTATATAATGAATTGATCTACCTACACAAAGTTCTCAGGCCTCCCCTTCAGCATAATGCCTCTTGCTGTTAAACTAAGTACCGTCTGATCTACAATTCCACGACAAAGCCCTCTAAAGGTCCCCAGACTCTGGGATACTGCTGGATTTCCTGCGTAGAGAGTCCAGGGAAAAGGCTGTTGGAGAAACAGGTCTTGACTCAGGAATATGCTCCATTTTGTATTTTTCGATGTATGGTGAAGCTACTTCCCAAACCTGAGAAACAAAGACGAAACCAGAACGTTGACATTTATTTCACATGCCATTTAAACATCAACTTCACCTGAAGCCAAAACATGATCTACACCTGACTAGACACCAGCAGCTGTTTGCTTGCTTTTCTTATAAAGCATTTAACACACAATCAGTGTCGATTAGTCTCTGCTTGCATTCAAAGCTTTTAAAATACAAAGCCCAAAACTTTTTGAAGTTACCATGAAGGTTTTTAGCTGTTTACTCTTCTAAAGTCAAACAAGCCAAAAAACAAACAAAACCTAGAGAATTCGGTGTGGACAGAATTAAGGAAAGTTCCTCAAGGGTCTGAATGTGTGTTTTCTAAAGCAAACCTTGAATGATACAAAGCAGGGGATTTCCTCATTTGCTCTGTTTCCCTGCCATGTGTGTTCTGTCCCTGGACCAGCAGCATCAACATCACCAGGCCTAAGTCAGAATGTCAGCCCCCCTCCAGACCTGCTGAACCCAAATCCACATTTTCACATTTCTCCAGGAGATTTGCATGCAAATTACAGTTTGAGAAGCACTGTCTCAGACCCATTAATCTATTTTCTTTCAAGAATCATACCTTCTCAAATTAAGGCCCTGTTCTTGGTTTACAGCTTTTTATCTGATTGCCACTGACAGCCAAGGGGGCTTTTTTTTCTATTCTTTTGTATCACCTTAGAACATGTATTCTTTCAAAGGCGGACCTCCTCAAAAACATATCTGCACCCCCATGGTCACTGCAATTATTTACAATAGCCAAAACATGGAAGCAAGCTAAGTGTCCACTAATAAATGAATAGATAAAGAAAACAAGAAAATGTGATATATATACATATATGAATATTATTTCCTTTTTAAAAAAAGGAAATCTTGCCTGACCGGCGTGACTCAGCAGTTGAGCATCGACCTATGGTCAGGGCACATGCCCAGGTTTTGGGCTCGATCCCCAGCAGGTGGTGTGCAGGAGGCAGCCAATCAATGACTCTCATCATTGATGTTTCTATCTTTCTCTCTCTCTTAAATCAATAAAATATATATACATATATTTATTTTAAAAGGAAAGATTGCCATTTGTGAAAACATGGATAGACCTTGAGGGCATTATGCTAAGTGAAAAAGCCAAAGAAAAATGCTGCATTATCTCACTTATATGTGGAATCTAAATTAAAAAATAAAATAAAATAAAATAAAATAGTACCAAACTCATAGATGCAGAGAGCAGATGGGTGGTTGCTAGAGGTGGGAAATGAGAGGTAAGTAAAATGGGTGAAGTGGTCAAAAGGCACAAACTTCCAGTTATAACATAAATAAGTCATGGGGACATGACATACAGCATGGTGACTAGTTAATAATGTGTATTATATATTTGAATGTTGCTAAGAGAGTAGATCTTGAAAGTTCTCATCATGAAAAAAAATCTGCAACTGTGTGTGGCAATGGATGTTAACTAGGCTTATTGTGGTCGTTTTGCAATATATACAAATACCGAATCATTACGATGTCCACCTGAAACTAATATAAAGTCTTGTACCAATTGTATTTCAATTTAAAAAAGACTAACCTCTCACACACTTCTCTACTAGCGCCAGAGTTAGCAGCAAGCAAGGGACTCCACCTTGAATGCAGGGCACACTTGAAAGTGACAGGCATGAAGACCAAAGGGAAAAACTGTCCCCCAAGAGTAGAGCAACTATTTCAGGGGAAATCAAGCAATGCTAGGGAAGACAATACCTACAAATTACTACAAAAGGCTTAAAGAACTTTAAAAACATATTTTAAAAAATGAGTCGGCATGCTAGGTGACGGTCTCTATCAGAGGAGTCTATAGTCAATGCAGCCAGAGGAAATCAGCAGCATAGGGATCTGTATGTCACCAGGGTGGTGGGCAGGACACACCAGAGCACTAGACAGACCCACAGCCCTTTGAAGTGAAAACCTGGGACTTTGTGTTCTCTTCAGATCTAAGCAGGCATTGGACCAGGTGGTGGCTGGGTGACAGCATTATAGAAGGCACTTTAGAATGAAAGAGCACATTCTTGGTGACAGGGATCCATGAACCTTCCGTCTCACTTTCTCCCCATGAATACTTGTTCCAAAACTCCGTTTAAAATTCATTTCCGCTTCCAACCCTTACATAGTCAGTGTTAGGGTGCTACACGGGACACCTAAGAGCTGATCAAATAGCTTCTTGGTGGCCTTGCAAATTGCACAGGCACCTTTATGTTCACTTCCAGGGAAAAGCCAGAAAGCAAAAGAGCAGGACGCTGTTTCTCCACGGCCCACCCACTTTACTTTCCCATAACGACCCCAGACGAAGAAAGAAGCCAAGCAGCGAGCTTGCCTTTTGCTCTACGAGCAGCCTGTGTGCCGCCTCGATGTCTGGAGCCATGAACCGATCTTTCACCCAGGGCCTGCGAGAAAGCAGATCAAGGCATCAGCCCAGCACGAACCCTGCCGGGGCTCAGTCCCCAGGCGGTGTCACTCCCGTTACAAAGGGCCTTACCTGACAACAGAGCGCACCAGGTCATAGACCTTCTCCAGGGGAGTGGTCGTCCTCAGGGGGCGCAGGAACTCGATGCCCTGGCAGGCTGCCAGAAGCTCGATGGCCAGCACTAGGTGGAGAAAGGGGGAGGGGACGGCAGGTTAAAGCCCGCCACCCGCCTGAGGGCTGTGAATGACCAAGCAGGTGGCCTCTTGGATGCACCTTTAATGGTGAGGGGGGCAAAGAACCCAGGCAAATGCCCGTTTCCCTCTCCTCACCTCCTCTAAAGGAGATGGGAGGTCTGCTTGCTAGTCCCACCTCTGTGAGGTTCAGCTTGTTTTTAGTCTGTTTTTAGTCCCTTTGGCCTGAAATACCTGGCGTGCAGAACCTCATCAAAGGGTTGAAGGAGCCGGTGATGAGTCTTTGGTTGCCCTGGGACTGAGTCTCCAGGGTGGGGCCAAAGTAGGTTACAGTTGTTCAGGTGAAAAATAATACAATGATTAATAAATAATAATACAAGAATAAACTCCATGTTTCGCATACTCCCAACGGTAAACCTACTTTGGCCCCACCCTGTATAATGTCCCTTTCGAGATTTCAAATTCAAAAGCTCCCAAGTCCACTGCTCTCAGAACAATTTATTTTGTGCACGCACCCCTTCCCTTACAAAACTAACATTGCACCTCTCCTCCCAATTAGCTGGCCCTATTTGTTGTTTAGGTCTTACCCTTAAATACTCCTTTGAAGATGCCTTCTCTCATGCCTTCAGACTCGGTTACATTCTCCTAGGACTCTATTATTTAGTCAGAATTTTGTTAAGTGCTACCAAGAATTGCCAAGCTATTGTCCAATGTCTGCCTCTCTGGTTAGACCCTAATTTCCAAGCGGGTAGAGAGAAAGAATGTCTCTTCTATTGTCTAATCCAAGGCTGCCTGTTGGATGTGGTGATGGCATTCTAGTGCATAAGCGAGCATTGATAGTTAAGTTAAAGTACGCAGGAAGGCCTTCGCCGGTGTGCTTAGGGGTTAGAGGGTCAGCCTGTGGAGCGAAGGGGCCTGGGTTCGATTTTTGGCCAAGGGCATGTACTTCAGTTGCAGGCTCCAGTCGGGGCGTGTGCCTCGTGTGGGAGGCAACCAATGTGTCCCTCTCACACTGATGCTTCTCTCTCTTTCTCCCTCCCACTCTCTCTAAAAAGCAATGGAAAAAATATCCTCGGGTGAGAGTTAAAAACGCATACACCAAAAAAATAAATAAAGTATGCAGGAAGAAAATAATATAAAATAATACAACAGGGATTTGCTTGAAAATAATTTGAGAAAAGAAGAAATGAAGCAAAAGTGCTGTTGAATCAGAGTGAGGTGCCTAGGAGGTTCATGCTATCAATCTCCCCACTTTTGAATGTTTTGAGTCTTGTTAAAAAAAAAAAAAAAAAAAA